TGCCCAGCTAATTTTTTGTACTTTTAGTAGAGACCGGGTTTCACCATTTTGACCAGGATGGTCTCGATCTCTTGACCTCGTGATCCACCCGCCTCGGCCTCCCAAAGTGCTGGGATCACAGGCGTGAGCCACCGCGCCCGGCCCAGCAATTACGATTTTATTGAGTGACTGGAGAAGCCTCTAGTTGGACAGATTTGTGCAGGACCTGGGGAACTGAGGGAGGGAGTTATGCAAATGTCTGGAGAGTGCCCATGTGCAAGAGGAAATAGCAGGTGCACAGGGCCTGGGGGAGATGGGCTTGGCATTCAAGGATAAGAGAGAGGAAGGGAGCGTGGGAGATGAAGTCACTGTCTATGTGACCATTAACACAAAAACAGTTTCCATTGTAGAATAGTTGTTGCTAACAGCCATGGATGGTTTCTACAGTTTTATCTATCAGGGGCTACTGTCAGGGGAGATTTAGAAAAGATGCCTGGATATTTATGTTGGTGTGAATTTGGTTTCCTCACTCCCTCTGGTTTTAAGATGAAATGGTGAGTGGTGAAAGTAACAGCATATCAAATACAGTCATGTGTCACTTAATAACAGAGATACACTCTGAGAAATGCATCGTTAGGTGATTTAGTCATTATGTGAACAGCATAGAGCATTTACACAAACCTAGTTATGATATAGGCTACTGCACACATAGGCTACATGATATGGCCTGTTGCTCCTAGGCTACAAACCCGGGCAGCATGTTACTTTAAGAAATTCTGTAGGCAATTGTAACACAATGGTAAGTATTTGTATATCTAAACATAGAAAAGATAGAGTAAAATATGTTATTGTAATCTTGTTGAACACTGCTGTCATATATGGAGTTCATCATTGGCTGAAGAGTCCTCACACGGTACCCGACCGTATCTATGTGTTTATGAATTTCCTATCATTTACTAGACATATATGATGTCCCAAGTCTAGCCTTAGTTGTTTGCCCTTTTTGAGGAGAGTCCATGCTTTCAGGACTGATCTACTGAAGTAAAGCCCCCTCCTGCTGCCCATCTTGGCGTTGTTTTTCCAGTACGGCACTTACAATTGCACACACGCATTTGTTGGCTCATGGGTTGCTTGACTGCTTCACCTTCTTCATTCTGGTTATAAAGATAACTACACAGACTTTTTTAATAAATGGAGAAAAAAATCTTCATCAGGAACTGAACTTTTCAGGTTCTCTGCCATCGTCTTATCAAATCTCTCTTCAGTATTTGCATCAACTTTGTCTTGTGCTGCTATATCCTGGAGAGAACTTTCTGGGAGCAATCATCTGGTTGACATTTACAAGGGTTTTTGTTTTGGAGATTAACTACACAATTCACTTTGATATACTGCAACTCATTCTGTGATCTAACTTCAGGAACACATTTCAGGGGAAGATAGCACACAGTATAGGGTGGTCCTTTCAAAGGAAACATACCTTAGCACTGGAATAGCACTACCCATGCATTTCAAAGCTTCAGACTAAGTCAGAGCAAGTATTTAGGTATATCATATGATAATGCAATTTTTATAGGAAATATATTGAAATCATTTCATTCCCCCTTTTTCTTCACATTCTGCCTTTTTCCTTTCCTTCTAGGATTTTATAGAGGCATAATTGGTATTAAAACTCCACATAATGTATATAATTTGGTGAGTTTGGACATGCATATACACTGATGCTAACATATAATCCAGCAGTTTCACATATTGATTTTTCTATAGAAGTAAACTTGAAGCATGATTTCTATTCCCTAAGTTATTATATTCTAAAATCTAATAAAATAAAAAAGACTCTAGTCTCCATGGGTAAGGTATGGGGATGCCTCCTGGGGATCAGTTTATCAAAGTAATTGCAGGGTTAATGTTTTTCACGTACTCTGTACTGTGCAGCTAGGTGGTGGAAAGAATTTGGGGGAAAAACTAGAGTCCAGACTAAATATTTGAATCTCTCAGTCTATGGCTGAGTGAGATGATCCTGATATCTAGTAGCTTTCAGTATGACACATTTCAGAAAGAAAATAGTATTGCTGTTCTCTTCTGTTTTTGCACTGAAAATATTTGCAATACATCTGCTATAATTATTGCTTCTTCATACTAACTGATCTACGTCCAGTGTAGACCTGCTTTCACTCATATTTCATTTTGAGTTCAGACAGTTCCTCTCACTCCTGCGGCTTCCCCAGGCTCTTTTTCTCATCTGTGTTCACATCTACCTTTCCAGTGGAGGTGATGGCTTGAAACACTGCCACCTGTTTTTGTCAGTGGAAGAACTCACATCTCAGGTGTACGAGACAAGGATGCTGAGGCTCAGACGCTCCTGTAGCCTAGACGCCTGGATACTTTCCCAGATGCAGGACTGTGGAGTGTGGCAGACTGTTGTCCTCGAAAAGTGTCACTCCAGCAGCAGGTTAGGGGAGGAGCAGAGACGGCTCAGTGGCTCCTTGATGCTTTTTCTTCCACTCTCTTCTGGAAAGCTGTGGTTACTCCCAAAGAAGTTAGCTAACTGCTGCACTGGCTCCCAGGGTGCCTCTTGCCTTCACACAGAATGTCCAGGGTGTGAGGGTCATGATTTAGCGAGCGCAATAACTCAGCACCTGTCTGTGCTGCTTGAGGAAACTACTGAAATGGAGCATAAAATGTTGACATAATCCACAAAGAAACGGCTCCATCAGAGGTAAGTGAAGAGTCCCCCAGGATGGAGAGGAGGAAGCAGCAGCTTCCAGGGCAAGTGCGCCCTTTGTCTCCATTTCCCCTCATTAGGAAGTCCTCCAAGGGAAGAAAAAAGAACCCTATGTTTTTATTTTTACCTTGTTTTATTTTGTTTTTGTTTTGTTTGTTTGTTTGCTTTTTGAGACAGAGTCTTGCTCTGTCATGCAGGCTGGAGTGCAGTGGTATGACCTCGGCTCACTGCAACCTCCCTCTCCAGGGTTTAAGCAATTCTCCTGCCTCAGCCTCCCAAGTAGCTGGGATTACAGGCGTGTGCCACGATGTCCAGCCACTTTTTGTGTTTTTAGTAGAGATGGAGTTTCACCATGTTGTTCAGGCTAGTCTTGAACTCCTGACCTCAGGTGATCCACTCACCTCGGCCTCCCGAAGAGCTGCATTACAAGTATGAGCCACCGTGCCCAGCTGTATCCTATGTTTTTAATGTCCCTTTTCTTTCAGTAATCAATACAGAGCAGAGGTCAGGAAATAATATGTGTTGAATTTTCTTGGCTAATTTTCTCCCTATTTTCAGGGAGAAATATGTATTTGTGCAGATATAGCTCACCCAGATTATTGCATGGCACTAGTTACATGAGAAGCAAGGTGAACACCATCTAGTTTCTTGTACACTATTTTTCTTTCCATAGAACTCTTATATTTGTGTGAAAAAGCACAAAAAATTCATCTTATGAAGTAAAAGAAATTAACTTCAAAATCTAAATTTTAATTTTTCTAGAGATTTAAAAGTTTGAATTTCACCCATTGTGAAGTCTTATTTCTGATGTCAACATAGTAGGCTTGAACTTGATGTAGCAGATGCGGAGAAGATACTTTTCGTGACATTTTAAACACCACATGAATGATTTGTATATAATTTCAATTAAAAAACTAATAACAATGTTTAGAAATAAGAATAACAGATTATGTTCTTTCCTTTTTTATTCCTAGATTTTATATTTTATTTACCACTCTGCATTTTTTTCCAGAGTGCATTAAAACAGTAATTAAAAAAAATAAATAAATGGGCAGTTCTCCCATTTAACATCTTATTTTTAATCACTATGTAGTAGTTTGTATCACAGCCTGTGTTTAGTTACATTCTTTAAACTCATATCTTTTTTTCCCCTCATGTTTTAGATTTTTTGCCCCCTGAAACTGTAGCCTGCCTTGCAAGCTGATCTGATTCTTTCCTTTTCATTCATCTGCTTATTTTAGCTCCATTGCTCTTTCCCTCAGCACACATGGGGTATAATGTCCCACTCCCTGGCCACTAATTGTTAAACAGATGCTTTGGGGAAAAACTAGAAAAAATGGTGGAAAAATGAATTCAATTCTGAAGTTTTCGTCTTCGTGTTTTTTTTTTTAAGGAAAATTTGTATTATTTTAATTGTTTTAATGTACAGAAAACTCAACAGTGTACATTTAACCCAGTTTAGTGGCAAGTTATTTAGCCTTTTCCTTTTCGAGCTTGGTGATGTGAGCCACAGACTTGGGACTCAGAATATTGCCTCCCCAATGACGGCAGATCTCATTATGTCTGCCTTTGTAATTGGTCCTGATAACTTCCACCAGGGTAGCCAAAGCGCCTTTGTCTTCCAAGTTAACCTGTGTGAAGGAGACAGTGATGCAGGTCTTCCTGTGGACTAGATGTCCCAGTCTTGCCTTCCCCTTGATAATACAGTAAGGAACTCCCATTTTACGACACAGGGCAGCCAAGAAGGCAACCAGCTGGAAGGAAGCATTAACTGAAGGGTGTAGTTTGACCAAAAGTAGTAAATTTCAAAGCTAGCTTGGTAGCAACTACTCAGGGTTTTAAAAACTCATGGATTTGCACTGCAAGGTTGAATTCAGTGAGAGATTCACATCATTGCAATCTTCTTCATGTTTTAAGTGAACTTCAGTAAAACGAGTTAGTTTCTCTGCTGTGTACATGAAGGTATTTTGCTTTGTATTATGGAGAGCTGCGTATACTGCTGCCTTCTCCATGAGAGGTCAGAGCCTTCAAGACCACACTAAATGACTGAATCTAATACCAATGTATTGAATTTAAATAGGTATCATTTATTAAATGTATATGCATATTGCTCAATTTTTATGTTTTCCAATGTTGACGTTTATTGTGAATATTTCATAGAATGCTAATCAGCTTTAACTTTTCTCCTGACTCATGAAAACAAGTACCTACCAAAATATCAAATTATTCAGTAATCCACAATGACTGTCCCCAAAGAAATACTGCACAGTCATATAAAAATGTGTGTGAAAGGGCTTTGGAAATTGTAAAGCACAATACTTAAACTAGTTGGTATTACAGAGAATTTTAAGTATTGATCTCAAAAACCATACCCACTTCACCTTCTTCTCCAGCCATGGGAATCACTTTATTTTGTGAATTCTTACTGGCCATTTCCCTTCTTTTACAGATAAGCATACTTTGTTAGTGCTTGTGAGACCAAATCACTGGTCAGGTAAACAAGTACTTGGCTTTTCCTGTATACCTGGTCCAGTTGGTCAGCTGGTGAAAGTGTTGTTGACGTGCAAAGTGTACCAAGGAACTGTCAGATCTAGCTAGTAACATTTCCATACAGACTGCTGACATAGCTTTTACTTGCTGCTTATAGTAAGATGGAAAAGAAGAGACATAAACTAAAGAAGTTCTATGAAGCGTAAAGGAGATTGAAATTGCTACTTTTAAAAACACTAGACCTCCTAGATAGTAAAATGATAGTAAAGTGAAAAATGGCTCCAGGACAAAGATCAAATCTAGACTGCTGTAAAGAAAACATGGTAAGAAGCAGCTGAGGGTGTGACTGTAAACCTTTGGTTAAGATCTTGGAAATATCTGTTGTGTACCTCAGGCAACCATTCAAACAGTGACACTTCTCAGAAGCTTAAAACGTGTTGTCCCGCACCACTTGCAGTAGAAGCCCAAGGCAGAGAAGAGCTAATTCCACATTTGCGTGTGTGTAGCTTTTTCTAGTGGAGTGAACACCAGCAGGAATCATAGGAGCCTCACAAAGTTTTAAGATACTTTTATTAACAAAAACATTGTTTCCTTGAACTGCAAGGGACAGAAACAGTACAATTTAAAAAGAAGACTTTGAAATCCAAAATTTCTACAGATAAGAAGCAGGATAAGAATGCTTTTCTGCTAAAAACACAAGCTGTATTCCATGGAAAATAAGAAATGACTGTGGGAAAAACCAAGAACTTAGAGGACAGAGGCAAGAGCTGTGAAGAATTATTCTCAGGCCTTGACTACTGATCAAAGAAATGCTAGTATGTGCCCTGCTAAATTTCATAATTGCTCTGGACCAGTGATTCCTGTGTGTCTCCTGCTCTACTCATTTTTGAAAGAATGTTTACATTGGTTATCTCAGACTTGTCTCACCATTATATATAAGTGTATGACACAGGCAATTTCCCTCTAGGTGACCAGTCTTCAGTTAGGAAGGAGATGTACTCAAGAGAACACATTCGAGGACTTTCATTTAAAGCAGGATTTGATTTAGATGCTCAATTTTAGATACCAAATCCTTGAACTTGAGTCTGAGCTGCAACAAGTAAGATTGGGGGGCAGTTTTGAAGGGAGTATGTATATTTGGCATGCAGGAGGATGGTTAATAATTTGTAGCCAGAGGGTGAACTCTGATGGTCTTATAGTATGTCCAAAAATTCTTTGACATTGCTCTCTTCAAAAGGTAGAGCCTAAATCCTGTCACCTAAAATATGTCTCAGACTTAGAAACTTATTTTTAATGAATAGAATGTCATAGGAGGGACAATGTGCATCTGTCGACACTAGGTCATTATATTAGGCTTCTCTGGAATTCTGGACCAATAGGAGATACATATGCGTATGTGTTTGTGGATATAGGTGCATATATACATAATTATATTATATATATATATATAAAATCTCTTCTGGAAACACCCTCAGACAGACCCAGAAATAATGTTTCACCAGCTACTAAGCATCCCTTAACCCAGTCAAGTTGACACATAGAATCTACCATCTTGGACACGTGCGGCGGCTCACGCCTGTAATCCCAGCACTTTGGGAGGCTGAGGCGAGCGGATCACGAAGTCAGGAAATGGAGACCACCCTTGCTAACACAGTGAAACCTTGTCTCTACTAAAAATACAAAAAATTAGCCTGGCGTGGTGGCACACACCTGTAGTTCCAGCTGCTTGGGAGGCTGAAGCAAGAGAACCCAAGAGGTGGAGCTTGTGGTGAGCCAAGATCATTGCACTCCAGCCTGGGCAACAAGAGTGAAATGCCATCTCAAAAAATAGTAATAATAACCATTACTTATCCACCCCTTGACAGCTTTGCACCCAAACACATCTCCTTAATTTATTATACAATAAACCACACTTAACTTCCAAATAAAGATAACATCATAATTCTACCTATCATGATGCAATTATCCTGTGTAGGCCTGAAAATATACAATGATCCCTCCTCTAAAAGAGGAAGTAAAATCCTTGAGAGATGTTTACTTTTCTCCTGATATTCTGTAACTTAAATACTATGATGTAGAATTAACAATACTTAAATATTGTTATAAAGTCAATACATCTAACATTACATAAGGGCATAAGAGATAAAAGAAAAAGATATTTGCTTAACATATGCATATATGTGCATAGGCATATTTATAATGAAAAGGGAGGAAATTCTCATGAAAATTACAGTTTTTAATTCTGTAACTGGTCATGTACTCACAGCTCATGTTGAGGACTGCCTTCTTCTATTTCATACTACTCATTCTATGTTCTCTTTGCTTTCAGCAATCTCCTCAGCTGGTCTTTACCTGATGGGGTGACTCCAATTGTTATTCCTAGGGCATCTGGGCCATTCATTGGCATGCCTGATTGGGTTGTTGTAATTTTCCATTGACCTTAATCAGAAAACATGGTAGTTCTAAGAGATTTCCTCAGGAATCTCCTGTTTCCCAGACACACTCTTCCTTTCCTCCATTGTGGAACAGATGTCACCTTTCCCTCTGGCAGTCTGGATCAATCATCCCAACCAGCATGTAACTTCCTTCTTGGCCTGCTGACTCAGAAGCATAAGGAGCCCAGGTAGCCTGATAGCCATCTTCACTTCTAATTCAATAGCATCATTGCTTGTCTCCTGGTGGAAGCATTCCTCCCTTTAGAATTAAGATGTCTAGGCAGGTACCAGTGGCTCATGCCTATAATCCTAGCACTCTGGGAGGTGGAGGTGGGTGGATCACCTGAAGTCAGGAGTTTGAGACCAGCCTGACCAACATAGTGAAACCCCATCTCCACTAAAGATACAAAAATTAGCCAGACACAGTGATGGGCACTTGTAATCGCAGCTACTTGGGAGGCTGAGGCATGAGAATTGTTTGAGCCTGGGAGGCAAAGGTGGCAGTCAGCTGAGACTGCGCCACTGCATCCCAGCCTGGGTGACAGAGAGAGACTCCATCTCAAAAAAGAAAAAAAAAAATGGAAAAGACAATAGAAAAAAAAAGATATTTAGGCCAACAAGGCATAAATTCACAGGAACTGGGGCAAAAAGTTTGCTAGTAGGTCACTAGTGGGGAATAGTGAGTGGTGCCACACCCATTTCCATCCCTTGATTCCTGGGCCCATTAATCCTAGCTATCAGAGAAATGGCCCCACATATTAAACATTGGTTCAGAGTGTATGTAGCCTCTGGAGAACCTTGTCCCAGCCCTGAAAGGCATTGCCACCTGGCTGGCACTGTAACTGATTCTTCAGAAGGCCATTCCACCACTCTATCAAGACAGTACCTTCAGGGATAGAGATGAGCATAGTATAGCCAGTGAATTCCATGAGCATGGGCCCATTGCTGCACTTCCTTCGCTGTGAAGTGAATTCTTTGATCAGGAGCCATGTTGTGTGCAATATCATAATGGTGAATAATAAGGCATTCTGTAAATCCATGGATGGTAGTTTTAGCAGAAGCATTGCATATGGTAAAGGCACGTTTATGTCTAGAGTAAGCATATTTTCTAGCAAGGAGAAAATGCTGCTTCTTCCATGATGGAAGTGGTCAGATGTAATCAGCCTGCCACCAGGTAGCTGGCTGATTACCTGAAGAAATGTACTGTTCTGAGGCTCAGTGTTGGTCTTTTCTGCTAGCAGAGACCACCCAGCATACTAGGGCAGCCTTGGAGAGTGGAAGTACATAGTGCTGAGCCCTGGCGTAGCTCATCTCCGCTGCCATGGCCATTTTCTTCATGAACCTTTCAGGCAGTAACAGAGGTGGGAACGGGGCTGATTAACATACACAGAAAAGGTCATCCTCTCCACTTTATTAAAATTCTTCTCTAGTGAGATTACTGTTTGATGAGCATTCACATAGGTTACAAATATCTTCACATTTTTTTTTTTTTGCCTTTTAAGAGAGATCTATCCATACCCCTCTTCCCCATATTTACTTGACACTGGTTTTCCAATCATCTTTCTTTCTAGTCTGTGATCATTCTGTCAAAACATCAGCCGCAGCCCGTTAATCCCCAATTCACAGGCTGTGGCCATTTCATCTAGGATCCACTGGCCATTTTTCACATCTTGCGATTTCTCCTTCCAAACAAAGTTCACAACAAAGTGCACTTGCCAAAGTTCTGCCTGCTGGGAGGATTTTCCTCACTACCATATTTGAGGGATGTCCCAGAGAGTGGCTAAAGTGCTACCTGAAAGGGAGGTGGAAAGGCCAATTCCTCTTGAATGGAGGGGTCTCTATCACTGTGAGTTGTCCACCTCTGGGTGGTAGCTGCATATTGTGCAAAACCGTCTGTCAACCAGGTCTGAATTTTGTCTTCCTCTTTCAAATGATTGTAGGGACCTCCCCATGAGACTATATATCCAGGCTGGG